CCCCTCCTCAACCCCTCAGCAACCCCTCCTCAACCACCTCAGCAACCCCTCATCACTCCTCAGCAACCCCTCCTCACCACCTCAGCAATTCCTACTCACCAACTCAGCAACTTCTCACCACCTCAGCAACCCCTCCTAACCACTTCAGCAATTTCTCCTCACCAACTCAGTAACCCCTCCTCACCACCTCAGCAACCCCTCCTCACTCCTCAGCATCCCCTCCTCACCACCTCAGCAATTCCTGCTCACCACCTCAGCAACTTCTCACCACCTCAGTCTTCTGTATAATTTAGTAACCCATCATCTTCTGCTCTCCAGGCACCACATTCTCTGCATAATATTCACGCCACACAATGCCCTCAAACACATTTCCACTGACTTGAGCCTCCTCCTAGCAATGACATTTAAAACCCATGTTTCACACCCATATAACAATGTTGGTATTACTATAATAAAGGTACATTTTCCTGTTTTCCGTCTTAGAAAATTTTCTGCCTCTGCAGTTATCTCAGTGCCCCACCCTACTTTTTTCCTCTCGTCGATTTTGTTTCACCTTGTCTTTGACAGACCAGTCCTTCGACAAATCCACTCCCATATACCTAAACATATTTAATTACTCACTCTCTTTAGTATGATATCCAGGTCTTTCATTGCTTAGATTTTTCTTTTTTTGGATGCTCACTTTTTTCTTTCCTATGTTTACTTTTAATTTCCCCCTTTTACATAGTCTCCCACGATAAAGTTGATATGTTAGCCAAGAAGAGTACCCAGAAGGAGAATGTAGAATATAACTTTGATATAACTGTGTCTAGCATAAGGAATAATATTAGGAGAGAAGTAAATAATGAAAATGATTGTTATAGGAATGCAGTTAGAAGCCTGAGTAGATCTATAACCCACTATGATAACATGAACGTAGATAAGTATGTTTATGGAGCAACTTGCAATGTGAACAGACTGACTGATGTTGTAGTGGCCAGGCTTAGGCTTGGTTACAAGTACTGACTGATGTTGTAGTGGCCAGGCTTAGGCTTGGTTACAAGTACTTCTGGCAGTTTGGGAGACACACAGATGATGATCAAACTAAATGTAAATTATGTGATCAGGCATATGGTCACTGTCTTGAACACTATGTGCTTAATTGTCCACTTATTGAGGAATACAGAGACAGACAGTATAATAACCTATGTGACATGTCAAGATATCTTATTATTGAAAATAAGATACTAAATATACTAAGAAAATTTCCTAAATTTGCTTGTAACAGATAACTGAACTATAGATATGTAGATATAAACCCGTATATACACCTGTTAACCCTTTTGAGGCCTAGTTCCTAGGCCTTTTGTGTATCCATATGCTCTTGCGCTACCGTCCACAGGATGGATATGGGGTGCACAATAAACTAGCCACTTCGGTGGCAAAATCTAATCCGTATTCCTCCACTAGCCTTTGCAACTTCTCTTCAAAGTTTCACATACGAACCGCTGCGTCATTGACAACACGTAAGTGCGACCACATACATAAGTGCATCATATTCGTTATTTTTTAACCCGTCACTTCTTCCCTACACCCCAGCGTTCACTTCTTTTACATCCCCACCTATATATATATATATTATATATATATATATATATATATATATATATATATATATATATATATATATATATAAATATATATATATTAAATGTGGCGACAGTTCCCTGTCTAAAACTTGCTTTTACTGGAAAATAATCTCTCTCTCTCTCTCACACACACATACACACACATACCCAAATTTGAGCTTTACTATCCTTATAAGAACTCTTCACAGTTTTCAGTAGTCTACTATCTTTTTCATATATTTGCAATATCTCCTATATTGTTCCCATATCCATTTTATCATATGCATTTTTTTTTCAAAAAAAAAAAAAAAAAAAAAAATCCTTACTTATTGAAAATAAGCATATAAGTAGATACTTATATGCTTCGACGTAAACACTTGGTCCACAAATCCCTTACCCTTTCTGAATTTTTGTTCATCTGCAGTCCTGCTCTCTCTTACCCTTATTTTTTTCTATAACAAATATATAATACATTATATCTATATACACAACAGGCTTATTCCCTTATAATTGTTACACTTTTATTTATTAAAGGAGTTAACAAAGGAGCTGTGCACTCTAAATTCTTTGGTTACTTTCTAGTCCTGAGGCAAATATGGAAGCAATAGACGACAAAGTCTAAGGGTTTCGGACAGTGCATTGCTATGGGTACCGAAAGAAGGAAGTGAAGCCCTGTTAAGGTCAATGGTGATATTCGAAAAGTCACTAAACACTAAGCTACTGGACGGGTGGAAAAGAGTACATGAGTATGCAGCACCTCGTCCACCACCAGGACTGCGGCAGTACGAGGTAGCCTAAATGCTAATGTTTATATGAGTCAGCTCATCTAAATGCAGTACACACACTGCATACACCTTTGCCATGTATGCACACACAAACACGCACACAGACACACACACAGACACACACACAGACACAGGGCCCAGGGCCCAGGAGCCAGGAGCTGAGTCTCGACCCCTGCAACCACAATTAGGTGAGTACAGACACACAGACACAGACACACACACACACACACACACAGTAGTCAAGCCGTGGAATAGCCTAGAAAGTGAAGTAGTGGAGGCGGGAACCATACATAGTTTTAAGGCGAGGTATGATGAAGCTCATGGAGCAGGGAGAGAGAGGACCAAGTAGCAATCAGTGAAAAGGCGGGGCCAGGAGCTATGACTCGACCCCTGCAACCACAAATAGGTGAGTACAAATAGGTGAGTACACACACTGCAAGAAGGCCTTCGACACAGTTCCTCACAAGCGATCAGTGCAGAAGCTAGAGGATCAGGAATGTATAACAGGAAGGGCACTGCAATGGATCAGAGAATACCCGACAGGGAGGCAACACGAGTCATGGTACGTGATGAGGTATCACAGTGGGCACCTTTGACGAGCGGGGTCCCACAGGGGTCGGTCCTAGGACCAGTGCTATTTTTGGTATATGTGAATGAAATGATGGAAGGGATAGACTCAGAAGTGTCCCTGTTTGCAGATGAGGTGAAGTTAATGAGGAGAATTAAATCAGATGAGGATCAGGCAGGACTTCAAAGAAACCTGAACAGGCTGGACACCTGATCCAGCAACTGGCTTCTCGAATTTAACCCCGCCAAATGCAAAGTCATGAAGATCAGGGAAGGGTAAAGAAGACCGCAGGCAGAGTATAGGCTAGGTGGCCATAAACTGCAAACCTCACTCAAGGAGAAAGATCGTGGGGTGAGTATAATACCGAACACGTCTCCTGAAGCACACATCAGCCAGATAACTGCTGCAGCATATGGGCGAATGGCAAACCTGAGAGTAGCGTTCCCGTACCTTAGTAAGGAATCGTTCAAGACACTGTACACCGTGTACGTTAGGCCCATACTGGAGTATGCACCACCAGTTTGGAACCCACACCTGATCAAGCACGTCAAGGAATTAGAGAAAGTGCAAAGGTTTGCGACAAAGTTAGTTCCAGAGCTAAGGGGAATGTCCTATGAACAAAGGTTAAGGGAAATCGGCCTGACGACACTGGAGGACAGGAGGGTTAGATGAGACATGATAACGACATACACAATACTGCGTGGAATAGACAAGGTGGACAGAGACAGGATGTTCCAGAGAGGGGACAGAAACAAGGGGTCACTCTTGGAAGTTCAAGACTCAGATGAGTCAAAAGGATGTTAGGAAGCATTTCTTCAGTCATAGAATAGTCAGGAAGTGGAATACTCTAGCAAGTGATGTAGTGGAGGCAGGAACCATACAAAGCTTTAAGACGAAGTATGATAACGCTCATGGAGCAGGGAGAGAGAGGACCTATTAGCGTTCAGTGAAGAGGCGAGGCCAGGAGCTGAGTCTCGACCCCTGCAACCACAATTAGGTGAGTACAATTAGGTGGGTACACACACACACACACACACACACACACACACACACAGGAGCTGTGACTCGACCCTTGCAACCACAACTAGGTGAGTACACACGCACGTATGCACATACAAAATATAACCTGACAGAGAAAAGCCGCAAATGTAAAGAAAGGCAAAAGATTCGGGGGTAAGCATCACACCAAGCACATCACCAGAGTTACTGTAAAAGAATATATTTGTCCTCGGTAACATGTGGAAAACTAGCAAACCTTGAGGAAGCATTCAGGAACCTTACCCACAACACCATCAGAACCTGGACCCGGTGCCTCTCTTGGACAAGCATCGGCAGAAGTTCGAAGTCACTCATAGTTAAACGTTTCCTTGATAATATCTTGAAAAAAATAATGTGCTGGGAGACATGATTTATGAGAAGAGATTAAAACACCTAAATCTGACGACCTTAGAGGAGAGTAGTACTTAATTTTGAGAGAAATTGATGGGGTAGATAAGGATAGAGTGATTGAGTTAGGAGAGCTACGGACAAGGACATTGATGGAAGATAAAGATCGACTTAAAAATATAGACGTCTCGGTTCGTTCTGCACCATTACCAAACCACTTTGTATGGTTTTACCTGTAGTTTACCTGGAGAGGGTTTCGGGGGTCAACGCCCCCGCTGCCCGGTCTGAGGCCAGGTTTGATAATGGTTTGAAATGTCGTTTTAAATTTCCCTTCTCATGTAAATAGTTCAGTGCCACTGTAACTTGTTCAGCTCTCAAAACTTTGTGGTCCAGTCCCTGGACCCATTATGTATCTCTGTAATCTTTTGACTACCACCCACGGGATGGGTGTGAGGTGCATAATAGTCGATCGAAAGGTTTTAGTTGCTAAATGAAGAGTCGCAGTCACTACCTTAACTTCGAATTATGAACAGATTTACTAAAGATTTCACGAGGGAAGTTAGGAACAGTGCCAGTAGATGGTACTACTGGTGCACACACGTAATTATTCCGTATTAAGGAAGGAACAATACCTTACACCTTTCGCATACTTACAGCACCGTGGCTCATCTGCAACACCTTAGATCACCTGAAGCACCTTTGATCACCTGAAGCACCTTTGTTCGGTAGTAACAACACATACACTGAATGTGATAATCCCAACTGTGCTGTGAGCTCAGGACACTTGTGTTTCAGTGTAACAGAAAATTTGGTTGGCAGGAGGCAAACTGAACTATTCCAAAAATGTTTTATGCTCGTTACAAAAAGAATGTCACTTGAACTAGGTCAGTGCCTGATTGTCTTAGTCTTGCCTCCCGTAGCAGTAACATAATATATTTGGTTTAAATTTTTTTTACATAAGGTTTTACAAGGTTAGGTTAAAGGTTCTTAACTTAATTTACAATCTCTCTCTCTCTCTCTCTCTCTCTCTCTCTCTCTCTCTCCACATTCTACATGTCTCCATCTTCCGTGTAAAATTCGGCCGTATATCTAATTTCCTATTTCATTCGGTTGTAGATCGTCAGTTATGAAGATAATTTTGTTACAATTAAATCTAGCACAGAGTCTTCACCTCCAAGTCATCCTCCTCCTCACGTGTAGCTTCCGCTCCTTCCGTCCTTCTCGTACTTCTGCGTGTGCAAGTGTTCCTGTATGTGGATAATATGCCTAAAACATATGTAGGTGTTTATAGAATGTCTATAATAACTTCAGACAAAATGAAGTAAGTTAGACGCAGGCAAATATAAAGACACACACACACACACACACACACACACACACACACACACACACACACACACACACACACACACACACACACACGGGGCTAGGAACTATGAATCGACCCCTGCAACCACAAATAAGTGAATAGGTGAGTACACACGCAGGCGCGCGCGCACCTGCGCACACAGAAAGACCGGTCACGGAGTATAGATTCGGGGGACAGAGGCTGCAGATCTCACTCAAAGAGAAAGATCTCGGGGTGAACATATCGCTGGAGACTCCCTTCATCTGAATGACCTTTGTAGCCAGTGCTTCTCTGACATAACTAAACGGAACCTTCATAATCTCAATAGTCATTCTGGGTCCTTATTACAACATATGTCGGGCTCATCACAGAGTATCAACTACCAATATAGAACTCACCTGAATTTGTTTTAGGAAACTGTAAAAGGTTCAGATGTAAGAACTATGCAACGAGGTTCGTCCCTTAGATAAGGTGTATAAGTTACGAGGAGAGGCTAACAATACTCAGAAGAGTTAATAAGGTAATGAGGGGCTTTTTGAAAAGATCATCTGGAACATAGAGACACACACGAGCCACGGGGATGTCAGGAAGTGTTTATACAGGTTCATGATTGGTCAGGAAATGGAATAACCTCGACGAAAATGTTGTTGGGGCAAGCTTTATGCATAGGGTTATAAGAGCAGGTAAAATAGGACCCACGAGGCAAGGAGAGGTAAGTGTTTAGATAAGTTCACCAATATAGAAAGCATGTCAACCCCAGAGCTTCAAACAAGTCATAAATAAGTACCAAATAAAAGGAAGGAGTTGAGAAACATCGAGAAAATAAACAAACAAGAGAAAGATAGAATCAGATTTTGCATGTAAGTTCGTAAAAAAACAGACTAATTGTACAAGATAAAGCACGAAACTAAAACTGATGTCATAATCACCAAAATTGGAAAAAAAAAACATGTATTAGATAATAAATATGAGAATCGGGAGAGTGTGTTTGGACGAAGCGGATTTGTATCCCCAACATTTAACTGAAATGGAGGACAGTGAAATATACAAAAAAAAAAAAAAAAAAAAAAAAAAAAAAAAAAAAAAAGGACACGAAAAAGGCTCCAGTTGAAAAATGAGAAGGAAAACAAAGCAACAGGACCAGCCGAGACACAACCCTGGGTTTTAAAATAATGTGAAGTATAATTAAACTTTCCCCTTCCAGATTTTTGTAGAGGAATTCCTTCCTCGCTGACGGCGCCATCTTTGACGCAGACTGCCTCTTTGACGCAGACTGCCTCTTTGACACAGACTGCCTCTTTGACACAGACTGCCTCTTTGACACAGACTGCCTCTTTGACACAGACTGCCTCTTTGACACAGACTCCCTCATTGACAGACTCCCTCTTTGACACAGACTGCCTCTGTAGATAGCCTGTACTGTCTGCACAGACAGCCTATGCTGTCTACTAGCTTAGTTCATATTTCGCGGCACTAAGGCGCTCCCCTCTCTAGGCCTGCCCAAGTCAGTGGGACTCTGGTCCCACTCGCACTCGCTCACTCACTCAGCGGCCTAAAAGCAGACAACAAGTCTACTTCCTCTCTCCCTTGTGGGATGGCCATCCCCAGCCATGGGCACTCAACACACAAGCCTGTGTACCCACCACGACTTTGGAAATAAAGTAAGAAGCCTCCGAAGACGTCTGTCATTGAACCCTGCTCTGCAAGAGCCACCAAATAAACTGGTTATAAATGGTGGGAAGCGGTGGTTGCAGCAGTTGTGTTTGCCCGGAGAGAGGAAGGAAGAGGGATGAAGTCATCTTCACTTCATCACCCCATACAAGAAGCATCCGTCTCTCATCGAGTTATCCTGATGTCGTGTCTGCACGTTTCAGCATCCAGACACAGCTACAAGCAGGATCTAGCTGAAATTTCCCAAATTTCTTCATGAAATATAAGTGGTGTCCCAGTGACCCCACGCTACAGCGTTCCACGCTGTTTCTCAAGTCACGTGTTCAGCATCTCTTGTATGTTCTGCTGTTGTTGTTCAGCTCAGCACAGCTATTTCAGCAAGTCAGAGGTGAGTTTTGTGGTGATTTCTGCGTCCAGTATGCGTGTCTACGTGTTTGTGGGAGAAGATGAGGAAGTGGCCGTTCCATGCCTCGCCCACACTCACCCTGCTGTACACTCACACATCACCCACCTACCACCACTATGTGCTCACTTCCTCTGCTGTGTTTTCTTCTGTTTTCCATGTAAATTCATTGCCAGAGCTGTGTATCCGAGTGCCCAAGGCCACTTGAAGCCACATAGATCACGAAGCCACGTAGATCACGACGCCACATGGATCACGACGCCACATGGGGTGTGGACGAAGCTACGGGGATCTAGGAGCCATGTGAGTTACCGATGCTGCTGCCCGACTTCATGACGTCAAAATGTCTGCCTGACATCACCTCGAGATGTCTGCTGACGTCACAATGCTGCTGACGTCACCTCGCGACGTCACGCCTGACATCACATGATGTCACATCGAGTGTTTCAGTAATTACGTCAGTATTGTCGAGAAGATTGAGAGACGATATATGTCATGTGTTAATTAATTCCTCTCAGTCAGTGTTCTCACATGTTCATGTATAGCTTAGTGTCAATTTTGTGCACAGAAAAGCATCATTTGCTAATTTAAGCCATGTTGTACCGCTTGTACCGTGGGTGTGTGTAAAGCTTTCTGTGTGTCCAGTGTGGTCTTGAGCCCAGACTAGTGTGTAGCACCACTGTGTTAGTGTCACCCGATGTGACCAGCGCGTTTGATAGCTGATATTAGTCAGCCTGAGCATATGAGCCCATTGTACAGGAAGCTCTTATGCTCGTCGCTCATAGATGTTCTGCAGAATCGTACCTGCTACGATTCCCATCGAGATTTGTTTCACTTCACCTCCAGACCTTCAGAGTGCAGTTATATGTAGAGAAACAAGTCTGGAGATGCTTAGACTAACCTCTGCTATAACTCCAACTGCTGAGAGAATGACACTCGTCAAGCCGCAGTTAGCCCTGTAGGCAGGCGCTGTGTCAGCCTCGTGTCAAGCTTCAGTGAGCTCCTGCACAAAGATGATGTCACTTTGACTGCTAGCTCGCTCCCTGCAGTCTGGTGTATGATGTTACGACTCTCAGATGTTTTGCCCAGTCGTCTCTGCCACGACTCACTCCACGACTTACTCCACGCTCGCCAGCAGTGACAGCCCAGCGACAGTACCAGTCGAGAAGTGTCCCGAGTCGCTTGCCAGAAGTCCTGCCCAGTTGCCGAGTTTTGACGACGCCTCATTCGAGGGCACCAGCATGTCGTGCCCCAGGTTGAGTGAAACCTGCAGTGACTCCTACGATGACTGCTTCACCGTTCCAGAGGAGGCCGTACCCTGTTACGTCACAGCTCAGCTGCAGCGATGTCTCCTGTGTTGCAGTATCTGTCCAAATGCAGGAAGGCGTTCAGTAATGCCCTTCGATGCTCAGTGCCTATGACCACGATGTTTAGCACACCCCACATGCTTTTTCTTCCCTCCCTGTAGGAAGTATTTTTTTTCCATGTCCATATGTATATACATGTTTTTATTTTGTGTTCTGTGCCCTGTTCCTACGAGAGAAAGACCGAGTTTTTTTACCACCAGTATTGTCGCGATGGGATGATGCGAGGTAGGTGGCCGAGCGTACGTAGACAGCCTGTACTGTCTGCACAGACAGCCTATGCTGTCTGCCAGCTTAGTTCATATTTCGTGGCACTAAGGTGCTGCCCTCTCTAGGCCTGCCCAAGTTAGTGGGACGCTGGTCCCACTCGCACTCACTCACTCAGCGGCCTAGAAGCAGACAACAAGTCTACTTCCTCTCTCCCTCGTGGAATGGCCCTCACCGGCCATGGGCACTCAACACACAAGCCTGTGTACCCACCACGACTTTGTAAATAAAGTAAGAAGGCTCCGAAGACGTCTGTCATTGAACCCTGCTCTGCAAGAGCCACCAAATAGACTGGTTATACCTCTTTGACACAGACTCCCTCTTTGACACAGATTGCCTCTTTGACACAGACTCCCTCTTTAACAGACTCTTTGACACAGACTGCCTCTTTGACACAGACTCCCTCTTTGACAGACTCTTTGACACAGACTCCCTCTTTGACAGACTCTTTGACACAGACTGCCTCTTTGACCTTTTATCAGCAATAGATTTATTACACCAACTTTGATTATACTTTCTTTATCACTCCTCACCGACCTTACTAACTCTACCTGTCATTCCTCCCTCGCTGGTCTCCGATCAAGCATATTACACCGTTAGCACGCCCTACCCTGCAGCGCTGTATGACCCTTATGGGTGTAGCGCTTAGTTATGATTGTAATAATAATAAATGTGGAGGAATGTCGGTTGATGAAGGTCAAGTAGTGGACAGTTGCAATAATGTTGCTCGTGG